ATATTATTCTTCCCGATGCCTTAAGCACTCTGAGTGTTCTTCATTCTGTGTCATTGCTGGGGAAGGCTAGGAAGGCAGCAGTAGACAACCTCCATATGTGGCAATATGGAAGCTTAATTTTAAAAAAATTAGTTTACCAAAGATATTGTAGAAGCGTTTGGAAACTATTGCAGCAGTGATGCCTGAGAGAAGAGAGAGAAATCCCTAATGTGGTAGAAGTGCCTGCAGGGAGTATCTGAAGTGTAGGGCTGGGTTCAGCCAGATGACTCATTTCTGACCGAGTACTAGAAGCATTCCCCTTCACAGTTTGCTGTGAAATACATGCTCAATTATTTGTGTGTACCTTTGACAAAATTCTCTCCGTATACAGGAGTTGTTGTACTTGGGTTTTTGGAAACCGAAAAAAAGCTTTTTATTGATGGTGAGGTCAGGATGCTTCTGGGAACAGCAGCTTGCTGGTTACCAGCTGTTCCCCAGCCAGAAGGAGGTAGTCTCTGTTTCAATGAGTTGTACTTTGTTTCTTTTTCTTATTTAAAACAAATAAAGAAAAAAAGAGGAAAAAATACACTATTTGAGGTGGTATTTCTTTGTGATGGGATTGGTGGATTTCAGAAAAATGTTGACTAGTATCAGAATTACTGACAGAAATGTTTCAAGGTAGAAGCATGTGTGTGCTGGGTGCCTACTAAATGACATCCTCACACTGCTGCTTGAAGAGTCGGTAGCCCTGTGAGTGGTGCTCTCCTTTTCCCAGACAAGTGGTATAAGATGTTGGCTCTTAAGGTGTTTGGGGCCTTACAACAGTTTCTGTTGGTTTTAATGTTTTGTTTTGGCAGATTTTGTTTTAGATCGGGGAGTCTAAGTGGAAGTTGGAAATAAAAAAACTGACATTTAATAGCAGTGAAACAAGCAACTACGCTAACCTCTGCTTTAAGTTACAGTAACATAAACTTGAAGAAGTTTTGCCGATACCTTGTGCATACAAGCGTAGGTAGAATTTGGCTCAGCAGTCAACTCCGTAATCATTGGGTTTTCTAGAGTCTACAGCTAATTCTGCTCAGCGTATGCTATTGGGGTTTTTTTATGGTATACATTGGTTTGTGAATAATATTGAGATACCAATGTTCTCGGTCTGAAATTTGAAACCGGTGTTGGACAGTTTGTTTTTCTTTCAGTTTGTATTTGTCATTAAAGAAGTACCCAAATGTTGGTAATGATCCCAAAAACTCAGATGAAATTGTTGAATAGTAGTTATGCATGTTTAAAGCCCTTACTCCTTGTCCTACAAGGGCATGTAGTGATGGGACAAGGGGTAATGGCTTCAAGCTGAAAGAGGGTAGATTTAGATGAGAGATAAGGAAGAAATTCTTTACTCTGAGGATGGTGAGGCCCTGGCACAGGTTGCCCAGAGAAGCTGTGGCTTCCCCCTCCGTGGAAGGGTTCAAGGCCAGGTTGGACGGGGCTTTGAGCAACTTGGTCTAGTGGAAGGTGTCCCTGCCCATGGCAGGGGGGTTGGAACTGAATGATCTATAACATTCCTTCCAACCCAAACCATTCAATGATTCTATGAAAGTCAGTTTGTACTATGACATGATGAAAAAATACTGAAACTGTAGGGCAGGTGTCTTGATGTTGTATATAAAAGGAGAGTCCCCTGATTCGGAGATGGGGTTATTAACAGTTTCAGACGAACAAAGTCTTACTTCAGAAAATTTTGTTTGTGCTCTGTGATGCATCTGGAATTACTGATGGGAAGTTTAATATCAAAGAAACTTTCATATTGAATTTCCTAATCTTAAGGACTTGTGTTTGTTTCAGACAGGACTATAAGTTCGTGGAAGAAATCATGACAAGGAATTTGTATACGTGTGTATTTTACATTCTTATTTTAAAAGTGCCTTGCTTAAAGGTCAGTTTATTGACCCACACTGATATGCCTTTTGGTGAGTTAGTTAAAATTCATCTCCAAACAATACCAAGGGAAATATGTCTTGTGTACATATGTATATATAAAATATGTATTATTTTACTTAAAAGTAGATAAAAGAGGAAATGTGAACCTCTGTAAATGCCTTGAGATGTCCTATCTGATTTTGGCTTTGCTAGCATTTCTCATCTAGGCATTTCAAGGCAAGTCAGCAGCTAGTGTATAAGTCTAAAGATGAAAGCTGTCTGAAGAAAGAGATGTATTGAAACAATGAATTAATTGATAAGAGTCTTGTTCTGCTTTGGAAGGTTTTAAAACTGGGTCAATAAGTGACATATTCTTTTTGTTCTACTTAAGAAAGATCGACAATCTGACAACATCAAAAGTTACTAGTCATACAAAGCAGATAGAGGGCAGATAGCTATAATACTTTTTGGGGGGATTTTGGGGCCATCTGGACTTTTTGTCATTGTGTTTCTTTTGTGCTTTTCTGTTTATGTAGATTTACAAGTAAAAGATAGTAAAATTGTCCTTGCTGGGAAATGACTGGCTGTCATATGCAGCGTTTTACCCACTCATACTGTTTTGAACTTCACGTTACCACTCCATTATGACATTCAGTTACCCTTATTAAGAAATTTGTGTTTATTATTAAATTTACAAACAACCTGAGAATAGTAACTCACACTGTAGGACTGACTTGGCTGTTGGAATGCTGACAACATTATTTTAAAATCTTTTATATGAATTAAAAATTGGTTGAAGATAAGCCAATCTAAGATTTGTTAAGAAACAGCTCTGCTTAAAAAAATTTAAAGCATTCTTTCCTGTTGAAGGCCAGGGAAGTTCTCTAAGGTTACCTGGCAGCTGCACAGCTACCCACTAAAGAGAAAACATCCTCAGAGAGGGGATGGTCCATCAAGAAATGAGAAAGCAATGATCCTTTTTCTCTGCGTGTTTTTCTACTGCTGGTCGGCACATAACGTTATTTGGAGATTTTCTAGTAGCTCTCCAGCCTGCATAATGGCACCATTCACAAGCTTCTAAGGAGAGAAGGAGCAGTCCAAGCTGCTAAATAACCCATGTTGCTCAGGATGCCCTTGCCCTGGGCCAAGCTGGGAGTGGAAGAACAGCAAAATCCTGTTCCAGGGTAGAGGAGGACCCTCAAGACGGAGGCATGTTGTTAACCCTTTGATTGTAAGAACAACTAAAGTAGACCAATCAAACTTAGGCTTTAGGTAGCATTTGGCAAATGGTGGAAATGATTACTGCATGCTTAGCAATGAGAAGGTTGTAAATGACTGCACCCTATTTGTGTGGTCAAAGAAAATACAGCTGAGATTATAGCAAAATCTCAGCCCCTCAGAACCTGCATTTTCTTAGCACATGCTAGGCACTATCTTGAACTGATGCAAAACCCACCACATTTAATATATATGTTAAAAGATAAGCCAATAAAATGTAAATTCCATTCAAAAAAATATGAAAGTCAAAATTACAATTTCCCTGCCAGGAATTATGCAGCTTCTTATACTTGTGTAATTAATTTCATATAGATTTGTATGATGTAACAGTTTCCTTTACAATGTTGTTTTCTTTAATATGTATGTATATGTTTTGAATTCATAATTTAGATGAAAATTGTAACGTATATATTTTAATCTCCTCGCAGTGGAAGTCACAACTCTTATTCCACAGTACAGGGCTCTGTGGCAGTAGCTTATTTTCATAGTGAAACTTATTTTACCAAAACCAGTAATTATGGTATTTCTTTTGGTGGAACAAATTTAAATTTGATGGTGGAGTGATTATCGCAAGCTCTCTCTTATTTAAAGGGTCTATCAGATATGAGCTGCATGTTACTTTGGTCGGTGATTTTTCACATACTTCTATCACAGCTGAAACTCTCTGGGATTTTGTTTTACCAGCTTTTTATTATTTCCTCTTGCCATTATGGTTATGTAAAAATGGAAGCTGTTGTCTTTTAAATTTGCTTTCTCTTCTTATCTGGTTTTCTTGTGTTTATCCACACTGGGAACTGGAATAAGTGAATCATGTTTAATTTATTTTAAATGCAGTTCAAGCAAAGTGAATTTGTCAGTTTATTCAACTAGTGTAGACTGGGATAAATTGTAGTTCAGTCTCACCTAAAAATTTACCCAATGTTTAAGCCTTGTGTGCATATTGCATTTTGTGGTTTTAGCATAATTAGGACTCATTACAGTCTTTTAAGGAGTACTTTTAGCAATATATGACAAGTTTAAACATAGTTCCAAATCTGGTTTTGAAGCCAAAGTAAATGAGGTCTGGTAATGCCACATTCCAGTGATTCTGACATCAGAGGAATATCTGCAGTAATAAATTTTTATATTAAAGTGGCTGAATTTTTGTATGCCTGCAGTAGGCAAGATGGGGGTCTGACATGGAGAAGCATTAAGCTAACCATTCAAGACTAGATCTCTGTCTTTTTGTGAATTAAGGAGTGAGAATTATGCTAAAAATTACCTGAGTGCTGACACGAAACAAATCAAAACCCCGAAGTATTTTGAAATATTTGCACAAATGGACCTGTAGCCAATGTATGCTGTAGATACTTGAATACAAAACATTCAGTATTCATCTCATTTGCAGCATTATTAGCAAACTTTTTTGGTATTTCCATTCTGGGAAAAATAATAATAAAAAAACCCACTTGTAAAGTTCACAAACTTATTCATACCAGGAAACTGGATTAAGGCACAGATAGCAGACCAGGACTGCATCAGCTTGGCCTGTATGGCTGGGCTGAACTTCACCAGTTAGCAAGAAGATTTGCTTTCTGTTGTTGGTGCCTCTCTCTACGGTTGGGAATGGCAGACTGGGAAAAGCTGCTGGTGCATATGTGCTCAGTTGTGTTTGAACTGATCAGCTCTTTTGCCACCCCTAGATTTTAAGAGGAAAAAGTGTTCAGTGCAATGTCTTACAATCCAGAATACAATTTTTTCCCCGTGTTGTTGCAATAACAATTACATGTTTTATAGTGCTGATTCTTTGAAATTTATAAGTGACGAGTCTTCATCATGTTTTCTTTCAGATTCTTCTCATTCTTTTCATCGTGATGAGACTATAGTTATTGCCCTTGCATCTGTGTCTGTACTGGCTGTTTTGATTGCTGCTCTGTTCTTTGGATACAGGATGCTTGCAGGTAGGGTTTGATGATCGTGCTGGGTTTTTTAAATTGTTCTTTCAACTATTTTTCTAAGTTATATGTGTGTCTTCTGTTCTCCCCAGTCCCTATTATATGTCTGTACATAATGCTCCCCTTTCTCCTCTCTGACACTGGATGCTGATATCCGTTTCATAACTGTCCAGAGAGATTTATAATTTCTCCAAACTGGCATTTTAGGACCCATTTCTCTGCAACAAATCCTCTGCTCAACACAGCTTAAGTGAGGTTGTGAACATGCTTTATAGTTATTGCCAGTGACATTTAATTATTGAAATAGTTGTGTAGCAGATAGCCTGAAGTTTGTAGCTATCAGCACCTTCACTGATGATTTTGCTGACTCCGAGAAGATTTTGCAGGATTCCCTTTTATTTATTATGTTCTTGCCTATAATATGTATTTCTGTCAAGTGCCAGGTAAGTTGTGTTGTTTTCACTTTTAGCATGTCAAAAAAAGGAAGCTGTCTGATTCTGTCCCCCACCCCCTTACACAGGAGACCGTAAACAAGGTTTGCACAGTATGAACATGATGGAGGCAGCAGCATCAGAGCCCTCATTGGATCTGGATAATCTAAAGTTGTTGGAGGTAAATGTACAACTTGGTTTCTTAATCTTCGTATTCATTCAATGGAACATTTGTGGTCATATCACCTCCCAGGTATAGTTACAGACATAAATGTTTTCTTCTAAATCACAGTTTAAAGAGGAAATGAAAAGAAAAAAAAAAGAAAAAAAAAAAGGTTACTGCAGTTACATTTTGCCTGGTTTTGTTAGTGATATTGTTGGTATTAACTAGAACATGTTCTACCTGCAGAATAAAATACTAAACGCTGGGAGGTAATGGGGGAAATTGGAATGTGCTGTATTTTCAGCATTGCATTGAAAGTTCAGTCTTCTTGCTTGACACTGGTCACTTTCGGTACAGTATCCTACTGTAATCATTTGAAGTGCTTTAGTAACACTATTGGAATATAGAATTTACTGCAGGTAGGGCAGTATATTTCAGTAGTGGTGCATTTACGTATAGTCATTCTTCACAGGGGGTACTCTCTATCTCCATGGCAACTAGAGGCCAACCAGGACTTTCTAGTCAGCTCGGTATTAGACATATCATCAGAAAACTGCAAAATGTTGCACTTTCAATTGGTATGCTTGATAGAACTTAAGGAATTTTTAAAAGCTTTCAGCAAGAAATAAATCAGTAGAATGACTGAGAGAGACTCAGAGAGGTACTTTTCTTCTTTTTGCCCATTACAAATCACACCTAGAGAGGCAGACTGCAGACATGCAGTGTGGTCTGGGCTAATGGTGACAGCAGACTAATCAGCAAAGAAGCCTGGGTGCCTTCTGCCAACAAAGTACTTGAGGCAGAGTTTTCACAAGAGGATAAGGATGTGTACTGCGGATTTGTGCAAAGCCCCAGATGAAATTACTCATACTGAGATGCAGACGACTTTGTTGGTGGAGAGATCTGCTGTGGGCTCTTCTGTCCTCTTTGTTAAATTGTAAGGAGCTGGCTCCTCACCCCCAGTCACAGGGTGCTGCAAAACAAATTGTCTTAACCTGTGCTTGCCTTTTCACATCTCTGTGGGTAGAATACATTCCAGGTTTGTACCTTGAAGTGACTTGCTGCCACTTTGCAATCCACTGTACATGGAAGGACTGAGTAATGGAAAGTCTGTCTGTTAAAGGATACTTTATTGTTGAAAACTTTGCTGTTAGACAATTTAATCATCTTTAGAAACATTACGTTTGTATTCCCTTCTGCTTCCTGTTACTCCATTTCTGTATTTAAAAAGTAAAAAGGTACTGGTCCATGAAATCCTTACAGTTTTCTGACTAGGTCTTCATGAAAACAGCTTGAATTAAATTGATGCTTAAAATCTTATGTAGTTAGAATTTTTTTTAGCTTTAGAAACTAGGACTCTTCCTGAAGGTGGTCCTACGTTTCAGTTTAGAGCAGAGATCACATCTTTCTTCAGTTGCCATGGAGATAGGAAAGGGTATTCTGTGAAGACTGTCTAACATAGTAGGGGCTAGAATAAAGATTCAGAGGTAGTAAGGAATTAATTATTCCTTTCTGTTAAAACCTATTTACTTCTTTTGGTATCTAATTTGGGCTACAAATGCATATATTGTTGTTATTAACCTAAAAGGTACAGCTTATAAAGCTATACTGAACCTAAGCTGTTTAGCTTGATGTCTGTGATCTCTGGAGTTAATTAAAATTGGTCACATAAAAGCCATAAATGTTTAGTAGACAAAAGTTTAATAAGAGAATTAGCAGCACAAAACACATGGATTTTATTGATTTGGTATATAAAACTGCTGAATAGATTATTTATGATTTATTTACTGGGTATTCAGACTATAGATCAGTTTAGTAAGATCTAAGTTGGCCTGTGCTGAGGTTTCCAGATCCAAAATAGCTTTTATGACAGCATTCTAATTCTAGTTTTCAATATAAAATATCCACTATATTCACTACTTTTTATAGCGTAAGTCAGTGTTAAAGTTGGCATACAATCTTTGTACTTTGTAGAGTGAAAACTTCTTCCATTAGTTAGTGAACTAATTATTTACATTTTTTTGCAGTTGATTGGCCGGGGACGATATGGAGCAGTGTATAAAGGCTCCCTAGATGAACGTCCAGTTGCTGTGAAAGTATTTTCTTTTGCTAATCGACAGAACTTTGTCAATGAGAGGAACATTTACAGGATTCCACTGATGGAACATGACAACATCGCCCGCTTCATTGTGGGAGATGAGAGATTCACTGCAGACGGCCGTATGGAATATTTATTGGTGATGGAGTATTACCCCAATGTAAGTGCTTCAAAGAAATCAATCGGATTGGTTTAGAGTCCAAAGAATAGCCACATAAAAAGGATGTACTTCAGTATTTGCCAGTGTTTTTCATTGCTGCTTCTTGCACAGTAATGTGAAAATAATCTATATAAATTACAATTTTAATGAACCTTTGTGTGGTTTACTGTAATACCCTTTAAGATTTCCCAGTTAGTGCTACCAAATGTGGTCTTACAAATTCTTAGCTGTAGTATTTGCTCTTGGTTATGGTGCAAGTTTTTTAGTCAACTGTGCAATACTCAAGGACAGAATTCAGAGTTGTGTTTACTTAAAAGTAATTTAAGAAATTTAAAACTTCATAGTATTAAGACATTATATCTCTGTTATCATAGTTATGATCTCACTCAGTAGCTGTAAATGGTGGGGTTTTTTACAGTGAAACAGGATAGATCCAGTATTGTTGTTAAACTAGTTTGTGGGACTATAAACCATGTTGGCTTGTTATCCTGTTATCTTCTTTAAAGCCTGCTGTGGCATACCATATTTATTTTGCTGTGCCTTATATTGGTGATGTAGAACAAGTCTTAAGAAGGCAGCCATACTTTCCAGAACCGTATCTTCAAACCTCCTTAGCTAACTGAATGCTTACATCCCTCAAATTAATTGATTTCAGTTCCTAACACTCTGTGTGTGTGCACACACGCAGAGAAACAAAAATGTTTTAAAAATACGCAGCATGAATGTGAATTGCTTTCATGAAAAATCACAAAATGTAAATTATGTTTCACAATTTATCTTGGGATTTTTTTTTGCTTGTGTATGGGAAAGAACTTTTAGTTGTTCAGTTAAATAATTCTTTTTTTGTGAGCTTTTTAGTCTCAAGTAAGTAACTCATATTTCCTCCAGTGTGTAAAGTTGATGGATGAAGCCTGATTTGTTATGGGGACAGCAGGACAAAAGCTGCTTATTCAAGTAGTTGGAAGAAATGGAACAGTAATAAATAGCAGTAATGATGGCCTGTCTTAGGGTGTTTTAGGCTCTACGTATATGCTTGTGTAGAAAGTTAAATGCATACGTGTGTATAAATATCTAAATATATATACAAATTTAAGGCAACATATCACCTCACAAATGTATACTGAAACTTTCAAGTGAGAACACACTTGATCATGTCAGCTTATAAGAGATGGGCATCTAAGAAGAGATTGCAGAGACTAGAAATGACCATAGCAAAAACTCAGTCATACCCGTACTAGATGGATAGTGGCAAAGCACGTGGGCTCTGGCCTGCTCTGGCAGAGTAGGCTTATTTTCAACTAATTGAGTTAAGTGAAATCAAGTGAGTATTCTGCTTCTGGGAGGGCATAACACAACTGTTTTAGCAGGTAATCTGTTTTCTTGAATGAAAGGATTTTCAGCTGAAATGTAATTTGAGTGAGAAGTGTGTCTTTTTGCTTATATAAACAGGATCTGTTACCGATCTGATTAAATGCACAGATGAGGCTTATGGCATCATATTATCAGATTCTTTCTCAAGATGGTATTAAGAACAGCAAAATGAGTCTAAAATCAATCCAGTGTTGGTTTGGAAGTCATTGGAAAAAGTGCACAGCAGGAGTAATTAATGCACAGTGTGATCCTCAATTCAGTGAGCAGATGTTCTGCTGCATGTGGAGCTAACAGCAGAGAAGGAAGCCTGCTGTGGCAGCCCTGCTAAAAGGGAGTTGGAGTGTTCAAACTGGAGCCATCAATCTTATTTCAATAAGGAGTAGTAACCCATAGAAGATGTGCAGGTGAAATACTTCCCGTCCAAAACATCATTCTCCCTCAAAATAACTTCCTTCTTGGAAATAGGAACACACAAACCAGAACATTTTCACACAGAAAATTGTTCTTGATGTTGCCTCAGTGAAAGCAAGGTGGATAGGTTTGACCCAAATTGTTTTATTATCCAAACATGCCTTCAGACCAAAGACAGTAGGTGAGCAAGTAATAAAAGGAAAGATACATGTATTTATCAATCAACATCCTGTTCTGATGGTACTCTGAGGTCTGGAAGGTGAATAAGCAGTAAGTTGCAAGGGATGACATAGTAGCAAATACATAATAGCTGCAGAATTGTCCCCCCAGTAGTCAGACATTCATGTCTTTTTACAACAATAGAAAAACTTGTTGTAAAAATGCATATAGAATCTTACAAATGTTAAAACAAAACCATCAGTTTTATCAAAAGTTATAGTCAGAACAAATGTCTCCGGTCTTAATATGTAAGTCATGACTCTGACATTAATAATCTTAATTACAAATATATATATCTCTCTAAATCTTGACTAAACCTTTTCCTGGTCGTGATTTATATTGAACTGCACTAAAAGCATAAAATGACAGCTCTCGGCTAGCTTAAAAAATGTCTGATGGCTGGCAAGCTCTGCAGCAGAAAGATCTTGAAGGTGGTTTGAGATCTTTACACAGTGTTTCCCAGTCACACAATGACAACAGTCCTGTGGCCTCTGTTAGAATGGGCTGGAATCTCAACCTGCTAAGCCAAGAAAATGTGTTACCGCACCCAAGTTGCTGGCAGGTGGAGGCTAATAACAGTGTTTGTATTTCTTAAAAAGCTTTAAATAATAAGAAAAAAAGGTATAATTCTTTTAACTAATTTCTAAGCAGATTCTTAGATTATTTTTTTTTTATTACCAAAATGTATTTGAAGTTCACGTAACAGCATTTTGAACAATGAAAAAAAATGCTCGTGTAAACCTGTATGAGTGTCATTTGGTCTGTTTTCACCACGTAGGTTATCTGTTTATGTGTTCCTTGTTCTACACAGGCCAAGTCTGATAAGCTGTAAGACTTCTGTAATTCTATTAAGGGGTGTCAAGAGCTCGGTTTTAGTTTTAGCATTGGATTAAAAAAAAAGTCTAATGCTTCGGTCATTTTAAATTCTGGTATCTGTGTGCCTCAATCTGAACTGTGCGTGCATTACATACCTGAATATTGACTCCAAATGGACTCAGATGGCACACACTAGATTGTTTTTAACCAAATGTTACATAACTGATTTTTCAATAAAGTGTTTTTGGTTGCGGCTATGATAAGATGTTGCATATAAGTGCATCTTTAATATTACAGATTTAAGTAGGCAAAAACACAGTAGTTTTTAGCCATAAATAAACATCATATTGTAATATGTATGCAGAGACAGCTGGATGACTTGTTCTTCATGCATGGGGATTTAGTTTGTTTAAACTGAATATGTTGTCGTTGTGCATAAAAACTGTTCAACGGTGTCCTAGTTTGCAAGATTTGGCTCTAGTTTCAGATAGCAATCTCAGTTTCTGGAATTGTAGTTCAGTATTGTAATTGACACCCTTTCCTCTGGTTGTCTTGGAGATTCCACCACCAATTACTAAAAATCACCCATTTCTCACATTTAACTTCTCTCTCAAGAAAAGAGGAGCATGGCATTATTTTTAGCTCTTTCTTCAGTGCATGTGGACTTTCTCCTATTCTGGATTGCCCTTGGGATTTTTTTGCTTTGATAGATAAATACATGATAGCAGAGGAGATGCCAGTGAGAGATGTGGAGTATTCTTCTCTAAGTGCTAATGGATTAAAGGCCACTAGTTAGTAACCCAGGCTATTATGTCTGCAGTTATCTTTCTTCTTCTGTTGTTCAACAAGACTTTTTTAGAAGAATAAATCAAGTGCATGTTTTGCTTTTGTATTTTAATGAATATAATTATTCCTAAAGTCAATCCCTGGTATTTATTTTCTGTTTCACTTCTTTAGATAAACCAAATGGCAGCACTAGAAATTGATGAAACTATGGTCCAGTCTTGTGTTTTAGAACATCTGGGTAAACAGAGAAGCAGTTATAGGATTATACCTTTCAGGAGCAATGGATAAAACTGACTCTCCTAAAGATTTTGAGTTATTGAACTGGACGGTGGTTTTAATCCATTATTTATCTATTTTTTGTAGGGTTCTTTGTGCAAATATCTGAGCCTCCACACGAGTGACTGGGTGAGCTCCTGTCGTTTAGCACACACTATAACTAGGGGCTTGGCGTACCTGCACACGGAGCTACCTCGAGGAGGTAAGGCAGGAAAGAATGCCAAGATGTTCAAGATACTCCTGTTTCTGTCAGGTAGTAGTTTCCTGCCTTTATTTTTTCCTCTGTGACAGTACGGTGAGTAGGAAATAATGAAAGCAAATCAAGGTTACTCGGAACTTCTGATATGTTCTTTCCTTCTGAACAATCCCATGTTGTGGGCTGTGTCTGTGGTGCTTGTATGAAAGAATGAAGTAAGAGCCAGCAGAGCCCCAGAGAAAGGCAAGAGGAGGTGACAGAGTTGTGCAGTGCTGCTGTATCATGGCAACAGATTACCGAAGACCTGAAGCACTGAATGTCTGTCTAGCAGAGAGCAAACAGATGGGGTGTTCTGTTTGTTTTTGCAGTTCCGACACAAATCACCAAAGCAATTTTTGGTTTGTGTGTGAACTGTATACACAGAGAGAAATAGTTAAATCTTCTAACTCCATTGTAGTTTTATTTATCCTATCTCTTGATTTTTGTCTGAGGGTTCGGGCCTAGTCTTTGCTGTGTACAAATGATACTGCTGGACTTTTAGTGTTTTATTAGAGCACCAGATATGACAACATATTGGTTTATATCTTTACATTGCTGCTTGTGTGCATCAGCCAGCATTTCAGCAGCTGAAGTATCATGATTATAAACCAGGTATTCTGAGATCTGTGATGTATCAGGCTGCAGAATACGGCCTGGCACCGAAACGTTAGCTTTTTGGCAGTAAATAAAAGGATGGTATCATTAATTTTACATTAAGATGCTAATGTTCGGATTAAAATTCCAAACTATATATGTCAAGTGTTAAGCATCAACTCTAGCAAAGAATGACAACTGAAGATGCCGTTAAAAGTGCAAGGCTGAAAATACCTGAATCAGTATTTCTGTGTGCAAATGAAACTGCAGCAATCATCTTAACTTCATCATTTCAAAATGTGCAGACAGGTGTGTCCATTAGGAGCCAGAAAATGTGTGAACCTTCCATCGTAAAGAAGAGACAGCATAGGCTGGTCTATGAATGCTAGGAAGGAATTCATAGGGTAGAATAAATTCTACGGTAAAAGCAGTTCTGTAGTGCTGGCTGCTTTACTAACAGAATGAAATGCATATGAACTAGTTACAACTGAGATTATTCTTTGGAGAAGATCAGATCTCTTGCAAGATGAACATGTTCAGACTCTCTGGAATAATACTGTCGACATATCTTCTGAGTAGGTGCCAATCCCAATACAAACATAAATCTTTGGTGCCATATTTGATACAGGAGTGTGGATACGGCTGTCAGGGCTGTGGCGCAGCAGGTCTGTGCTTAAGTACATGATGTCTACCCTGCCAAAATCATGCTGAAATATCCCTTTGAAAGAAGTTTATTGGCAAACACTAAAACTGTATATGGCAGTAGCCTAATATTTTGTCTAGATACAGTGAAACTCTGAATGCCCGTCAGTTTTCTATAGGTAGCATACTGTGGAACTTGTTATAAAGAAGGAAAAACATTAGCTTTGTGAAAGATAAGTTGATTTTCTGTTTACAATAGCTAAGCAGACATAATGAGCTTCTTTCATTTTGCCAAACAGTAGAACTGCTCAAATAATAACAAGCACTTCCATATGTCCAAACAGACCATTACAAACCTGCAATATCCCATCGTGACTTGAACAGCCGCAATGTACTGGTAAGGAATGATGGAACATGTGTAATTAGTGATTTTGGACTCTCCATGAAGTTAACTGGAAACAGACTGGTACGCCCAGGTGAGGAAGATAATGCAGCCATTAGTGAGGTAAGTACAAATGAAGATAAACCAGTGCATGAAGGAAGACAAATTAGTATAGAAGTAACACTGAGAAATAATTGTTTCTGTTATTAGAAGATGAATGTTAAGGTGGTGCAATTCCTCTAAGGGGGAATTGCTGCAATATGGGTGAGAGGTGTTGAAACCTTGATAGGAAGAAACAGGTTTTATTCTCATAACACTCAAAAATAAACCTAGCATTTTGAAAGATGATAGACTGGCAGCCCTGGAGACTGAAGTTTTCTGTGTGAGATATGAGAAGCTGCAAGGTAGGTTTAGTGGTCATGTTGTTTGTGATGATGTGGTACAAGCCCCTTCAGTCTTGTACTGCAAGTATTAACTGAAGACCAAACATTCTTTGATGGTTTTGGTGTTAATTTTTCCAAAATAATGACATACCACATTCTACATCCTACAACCATTTCTCTTGTGTGCCATCTGCAATTTTCTGGACTTTAAATGGATACATCTGGGAGAGTAAGTGCGTGTAGATAGACATGAACCAACTGAGAAAGAATGGGGACAAAATAACAGGGGGTGCTTGAAGGAGTACCTTATAGGAAAAGATGAAAGAATTAGGGTGGTTTAGGGAAGTAAAGGCAGAGACAAGTCTTCAAATATGTAAACAGCTGCTACAAAGAGAAAGGAATAAATTACTTGCATTCAGTGGGGATACGACAAGGGGTAAAGGGATTACGTTGTAAGAGGGAAAATTTACATTAGTTATGAAGAAACCTTTCTAATCTGTAGAAGGCAGCCAAGGTCTGGAATGGACTGCTGAGGAAGGCTGTGTAGAATTTGCATCATTTTATGAATTTCAGGAACAGATTGGGAAAGCATCTGCTAGGAGTGGGTTAGAATGGATTCTGGGCAGAAAGAAGAAACTGATTTCTTAAACTTTCTTTTTTATGATGCTGTGATTCAGAGTATGGGTTTTTTGTTATTGTTTTCTTTTTGTATAAGCATAAATACACTGACACCTGAATATACGCTACTGAAATACAGTGAGACTATTTCAAACGAAGAGTGAAAGTCGCTAATGGTTCAGTATATTTGTCGTCCTTGTGCTTTTACAGAAACTCTTTACATTTCATTCAGAAAATGTGTTTTGCAGTGCTAATCACCTTCCCTTAGAAAGCAAGTGCCACATTAATAATACCTACTGCACAGGTCCTCTTTTAGATCTCCCCTTACTGAACGAAGAAACAGGGAAACCACTGTTTAAAATGCAGGGATACGGAATAATCCTGTGACAAAATACTGTCCTACAAGTACTGATGAGTGATTGCTCTAAGCTAACATATTTCCTAGTGGAAATGAATAGATATCTTCCAAGGCTGTTAATAACCATTGACCATCGAAGATGTAGGGGAGAGCCTTGCTGACAGTTCAGGAATAAAGAGAACAAGTTCCTTGTTCAGCAGCATCCTCTTCCTTATGATACATGCCTTGGTGTTTAACACAGTAATTTCAGGAAAAAGAAACATTTCTGCTACATTGTATTGCATATAAGAACATTGAGTAAGGGACAAAATTATTTTGTTTTGGTACATACAAAAAAGTGACAGAGTAGGGGAAGGGTTTTGTTATGACTAGGCTCCTGATAAGAGGAGGACATCGATTAGAAGAGAACTGCATTTTCCTCAACTGTGGAAAATATCAAACAAAGTAGGGTATTAAAAAAAAATCTCCATAGTAAATTGACTTTTGAAATTGCTTCTTGATTTGAAACTTTGATTTTATGTTTTTCCAGGTCGGTACAATCCGCTATATGGCCCCAGAAGTGCTTGAAGGAGCAGTGAACTTGAGGGACTGTGAATCTGCTTTGAAACAAGTAGATATGTATGCGCTAGGCCTTATCTACTGGGAGATATTTATGAGATGTACAGACCTCTTCACAGGTAACTAAAAGAACTGGAAAAAACATAAGTAGTAGAAAGTGATACTGCAACCAAAGCTACTCCCTAGCCATAGCTGTTAAAAGTGAAGAAGGGAAATAATTTTCTCAGTTGCATTTGTCATTAAGTCGGTGCCATCTAGTGTTCAATGTATTTTAGTGTGAAGTGTGGTTCATACTGAAAGACTTTAAATTACCTGTTTAAGCAGTTTGCAGGCCTCATGGGAAGTGCAGTTTGAGCATTATTATTATTGTCCAGAGTTCACAAACATTGAGAGCTGGGCTGATGGCAAAGGCAGTACTTTCAGCTCTTAGAACTGATACAAGTGCCTGAAGTGTCTTTCAGACTTTCCTCATGAAAGAACGGATGGGAAAGTGCTGTGATTTGATGTAGCCTTTAGTCAGTTGTACTTTTATTTGTGCTATTGACAGTGAAAATTCAGGGAAATCCTCCATACCTGTAATATAAAACAAGAGGAAGTAGACTTACAAAATTTAACACCTGGGACTGTGTCACAACCACCATCTTTTCACAGGATATAGAGTTAATCTGATGCGCACCATTCTCTCTGTAGTCAAACAGCTGCACTTTGTGTGCAGAGACTTGTAATCTTGCTGGGCTTCCTCCCAAATGAAGTACATTAATATATTCTGTCAGCGGTGTTTCACAGAAATTAAGTGTCATCCTTGGGCTCTAAGACATTCTGAATGTGCCACTCAACCAGCAAAGTTTGAAGATGCTATCCTTTGAGAGGTTGCTGAACAACACTTAATTCATTTGCAGTTAATTCAGCTTTTTTTGTGAAGTTAGATTTTGGAGGAAAGTGGAGAACATCTCGATAGACAGCAGCTTTGATACTACCTTTCATCTCCTGAAAGCCCTTGCTCTGCCTTTTAATCTGTGGGTTTTTTCTTTCTTTCTTTTGCTAACAGGGGAGTCTGTGCCAGAGTACCAGATGGCTTTCCAGACAGAAGTTGGAAACCATCCCACTTTTGAAGATATGCAAGTCTTGGTGTCTAGAGAGAAGCAAAGACCAAAATTCCCAGAAGCATGGAAGGAGAACAGCCTGGTGAGATAGAATATTTTCAAAGAAACAATCATTTAACTGGCTATAGGGTGTACTCACTTCTTAAAAGCAATTTTTGAATGTGTTCTTTATTTAAAATTTTTGTTAGCATTTAAGGATTAGGAGCTGGTTCTGTCTGGATTTCTTAGATATTGAATTCAGTTTTTAAAAAGCCATTGACATGAAAGCTAGACTTCTTTTAAGGAAAAATACTAGGATTATTATCAGATGCTGAAGTGTGATACACAGAAGATAACTTGTTATATTAATTGTTAGACAGTATCTGTAGTATTATGGACGAAGTGCCCACATGTTCTCTGTGTGCTGGATGAGAAAGATAAAGGTGTTTTCTGCCTTGTGACATCTTATAAACTAATAACACCCTAAAACAGTTGGCAAAAATATAAATATACTCCAAACTAAAATCTATAAACATTCTAATAAACTTTTTCTGAAGTTGTATAGTCAGAATTTGCAGAGGCTTCAGCTTCTAGCAATCATTTCATTGTGACTGCAGTAGAAATTTTATATGGCTTCATTTGATCTGCAATTTTTATTTTCAAGACTATAAATGTGGTAATGTGTTTTGTTTTGAATTAGTGTAGCTATGGGTTAGAGCCTTGCTTGCTGCTGCAGGCCAACAAGTTATGACAAGTCAGCTGAACTCTGGTAAGAGTCTGTGCACTTGCTTTGATCTGCAGCAAAGGTGCAGTAATGCGAACCCCTTAGCTTGAGGGAGTGGTTTGTGTTTTATTACAAGCAAAGTGAAATGCAGTTACTTGGTTCCACTTGATACATGGTAATTTGTTTAAGCTAAAATAGCTTGATTGTGAGTATGAAAATGACATATTTGACCCTTAGTTAAAAAAGTACTTCTTGTTACTCCCTTTCTAAAATTATGCCCTTCAATCTTCAGAGGCCTTGCTAGTTGATAAGTATGTAGCTACTGTGCAGATAATGGAGAGCCTAAGGCCTCATCTATGCTGGTACTTGTAAATATGTATGAAACCATTTTCAGAGAGGAGCATAGCCTCCAGTATTAACACTGTTGTAAAACATGTTGTAACTGAGTTAAGAGCTTCACAGAGAGGTTCTTTTATTACACAGTTTTGGCCAGGCAGTCTTGGCGGTGGGGAATCCACACCCAAACTATATATGAAATCGAGCAGCAACTGTTTTAACTATAGCCATGTTGACAAATGCAGTGTTGGAAAAACCAAACTTGGCAGCTGTTTTTGAAGACAGTTATAACTAGAACAGTTCAAGAAGGTTTGGTTTGGTTTGCCAGACTACTGTTTTAAATGTTAATTATATTCTAACAAGCTGATAGACTCCAGCATTATTAAACACTGAGCTAGTAGTGATCCCTGTATTTATACTGCCTAACACATTTTTGGTGTTGTCACTAATTTTTTTGCACAAATTCCAAGTAATAATAATGATGATGATGATAAGTCCAGCTCTAAGGGTTGATCTACACCATTGCTTTAAGAGAAAAGAAGAATAAATAAATGATCTGTGGTTCTTTCATGGGTATAAAACAACATACTCCACCCTATGCCAGTCTAGCATAACATCTGAATGAGCACTCTAGGGTAGACATTGTAGAAAACTAAACTCCAGATAACCTCACCCTGGACCCAGGTCCTAACCTCCTGTATCTAATGCATGGGATAAAAGACTTTTGTCTGTCACTTAAAGCGATGCTGACATGTTGGGTTATATCACTTACATGCAAATTCATCTATTAGAGAAATGTATTTGCCCCTTTCGTTTGAGAAATACAAATAAAAAGCAATGTTTTATATTTAGGTCACGTAATTAAGGCACTCAAAAGATATGGAATCCTAAATTTATGATTATCTATGCAGTTTCAGTCCTGCTTCTTGAACATACGTGTACAGACCTTGATTAGAAGTATTGTTTTTCACAGTATAAATCAACAATCTGAGCAGAGGAGGTGTATAAAATAATTCAAGGGCTGTAAACTGAGTTGTTAGCAGCTTTCTTGTCTCATTTGCCAAAGCCAAAGCAAGGCCCAAGCTTGACTGGCAAAGGTCAGGACTGTAGGAAATTAATAGAATAATGCAGATTTCCTGCCCCTTCTATCTTTTTTTATGAGTGCTAGAACTTCTAAATAGCACATTTTAGTATAGATCTCTTTGAACCTGAAATTAATAGGAAACACGTTAATGTGGTAAACGTGAAGCTCTAGAACTTCAGTTTTGTTAACTGTCTATATAGTTATCATTCTTAAGACATGAAAAGGAAAGAATCTGCTAGAAGAGAGACAGTACTAAATTAAACACTGGTCAAATTTACTGCTCGTGAAACCTGTAGGGGAGAGCTTTACATAGGGGCAAGACAGGAGATTAGAGTCTCCACTGACTTAGGTATGTCTAAATTGTGACTAAATCAAGTTGTAAAAGCCAAATGAAGGGGTTTTGTTCTGGGAGAGAAAATAGATCCAGTATATTATACTGTCACATTCCCTGAGGGTGCATTTAGACTCATGTCCCTCAGCTAAGAGCGGTGTAGTTGCTTAACCCCTCTTCAATCTAGTGTGGGAAGGGAGATAAAAGGTTTGCTGGTGTGGGAGCTCCTCCCCACCTGTGCAGCCACAGCTGCATCACTAAGCAGCAGTGACTTGCCAGATACCAGGAGCCTGCTCTGTGGGCGAGGACCTCTTGGCTGGTGTGCAGAGTTAGTCCTGGCTTTCACTGACAGAAGTGAACAAGGCAGTTCTGGTGCAGCAGGAGCCACTGAATGCCTGAGTGCCCAGCTGGGACTGTGCAAAGTCATTGGTGCTGGAGAGGTTAAAGCTGGGCTGTAGATGCAAGGTGTTCTGGCAAACCATATCCTATCCATGGGCCATAGACTGGCAGCAGGGGCCAGTAAATGTCTGGCTGTATTTTGTACTCCGGATGCAGTGGAAGCAGAAGTGTTCAGTGCTCGTAATTTCAGCTGTCTCCTCTCCAGGTCTCTGAGCACGTGGCAGCACGTTTTGGAGGTCTTGAGCTCTAATTCTGCCTGCACCATTCACCTCACAGTGTGATTCCAGGAAAGTGTGTCTGTTTCTGTTTCTCCATCTGTAAAACAAGGGCAGCAATAATCTCCTCCCATAGCGCAGAGAAATTCACTGATATTTGTGAGGCATTTGGATGTTACAGTAGCTAACAAAGGAAGAAAAGCATGATGAAATGAGGCTGTGTAGTGTGCATACAGTCCAGGGAAGCAAAGCGGGGCCTGTTAGCTGAATTGTGAGGTTAACAATGGCAGCATTTCCAGAATATCATTAATCCTTAGTACACAGCTTTCATAAGGCAGGGAGAGCGAGCTGAGCATGCATACATCAGAGAGATCTGGCTGAAGGTTGTATGGACAATGGTGAATGTAGCTTCTAAGTAATTGTCTGCCTGGTTGCTGTGTGTGAGAGGTGTGATGGTGTTAGTCCTGCATGTTGCTGGTTTTAGGGTAAACTAGCTTTGAATGAAACTGTATCTTCTGTTTCTCTTTCTCACCAACTTGTGACTATTTTCATGCATACAGAATGCTGTTATAAAACAGTAAATTAGAAGCACAATATAAAGGGAAAATCATTGCAGATAAAGTGGTTTTGTTTGTTTGCCTCCTGGCAGGCTGTGAGGTCACTTAAAGAAACAATTGAAGACTGTTGGGATCAAGACGCTGAAGCTCGACTAACAGCGCAGTGTGCTGAGGAGAGGATGGCAGAACTCATGATGATTTGGGAAAGAAATAAATCCGTTAGTCCAACGGTCAACCCTATGTCAACTGCCATGCAAAATGAGCGGTAAGAAGAGAAAACATTTGGTTTTAGTCAGCAGCGAATGCCCAATGCAATGCTCAGCTCATTCCAGGAAGGAAGCTAGAGCACACTGCTAGTTTAACATTTCTGCACCCGTGAAGTGGGTATGTGTTATGTGAGCTAGTCTGCATACAGGTATTGCATGACATGATCCTGATTGCTAGTGTTCTTAAGATCTCCTGTGTGCCCCCAGAATTCAGGCACCTTTTATGTAAACAACTGTACTTCTCACAGAGGGGCCTTTTAAACTGAACTCAGGCAAACTATGCAAACAGGCTTGCAAAGATATGAAGTGAGAATGAATTTTTTTTTTTTCAAGGACTCTTGATAAATGGCGCTTAAAACTTCTATTTAAAATGTTCTTCTAAAAACTGTGAATTTGCAGGCAATATGAGTTAGGGAAATCACGGAGTCTCAAATCTGTAGCTTTTCAGCTAAAGAACCACCGGACCATCATTTAAATAATTGTTATTCTGACCCCAGTGAGAGATGCAGCGCATTCACTGCATATGTATGGTCCAGAGGGAGTGAGAATTTGCAGAACTGACACTCGTGCTTAATAGTGTACACTAAAGATCTGGATTTGAGAGAAGAGTAATGTTGCTGTATGTGGCAGTGTTTACCGTAGTGAAAAAAATTACGTTCAAATAGTAGAATACCTAAATTGTTAAAATATAGATTATTTCATGCTTTAGGACCTTGTGACTTTTTTCCAGCATTACTTTCTCCATCTTGTGTGTTGAGTTCTCGTTGCACTCCTTCAGCATCACTTCTCTGCAGCTAGAGCAGTACCTTAGAAGTGAACTGGACAAACAGCATATTGGACAACTAGAAGAAAATTACTGTTATCTGGCTTATTTGTATGAATAACGTCCATGACAAAATGGCCATCCTAGTAAAACCAATTTTCTGCTACCCAGGACTTTTCAAGGAAGTTACTGAAGGATCTCAGTTTGTACTGTATCTGTCCTTAGTTTATGCATGAAAAGAAACAGAAGGATGTTCATCTCCCTTGAATGAGAGGGTTTATAATATGAGGTGATTTTTACATATATGTTCTTAATATCACTTATTTTTTCTTAAAGGAATCTGTCGCATCATAGGCGTGTATCAAAGATAAGGCCATATCCCGATTACTCTTCCTCTTCCTACATTGAAGATTCAATCCACCATGCTGACAGCATAGTGAAGAACATTTCTTCTGAACATTCAATGTCCGCTACACCATTGACTTCAGGCGAAAAGAATAGAAACTCCATTAACTATGAGCGGCAACAAGCACAAGCTCGCATCCCTAGTCCTGAGACAAGTGTCACCAGTTTGTCCACAAGTACTACCACCACAAATACAACTGGCCTCACTCCTAGCACTGGCATGACCACTATATCCGAAATGCCTTATTCAGATGAAACAAACTTACATACTACAAATGTAATGCAACCAGGTGGGCCCACCCCTGTTTGTCTGCAGCTAACAGAGGAGGACTTAGAGACAAATAAATTGGATCCAAAAGAAGTGGATAAAAACCTGAAAGAAAGCTCTGATGAGAATCTGATGGAACATTCACTTAAGCAGTTTAGTGGGCCAGATCCACTCAGCAGCACTAGTTCCAGCTTGCTTTATCCGCTGATAAAACTTGCAGTAGAAGTGACAGGACAACAGGACTTCACACAAGCTGGCAATGGTCAAGCATGTTTGATTCCGGATGTCCCATCTGCTCAGGTCTATCCTCTACCCAAGCAACAGAACCTTCCGAAAAGGCCTACTAGCCTCCCCCTAAACACCAAAAATTCAACAAAGGAGCCACGGTTAAAATTTGGTGGCAAGCACAAATCAAACTTGAAGCAAGTGGAAACAGGCGTTGCCAAGATGAACACTATCAATGCTGCAGAACCTCATGTCGTGACAGTTACCATGAACGGGGTGGCTGGGAGAAGCCACAGCATAAACTCTCATGCTGGCACAACTCAGTACGCCAATGGCACAGTGCCGTCTGGCCAGACAACCAGTTCAGTAGCGCAGAGGGCCCAGGAACTGCTTCAGAACCAGTTCAGTGGAGAGGATAGTCGACTGAATATTAATTCAAGCCCTGACGAGCATGAACCCTTGTTGAGGCGGGAGCAGCAGGTTGGCCATGATGAAGGTGTTCTGGACCGCCTAGTAGAGAGGAGAGAGCGGCCACTGGATAATGGCCGAACAAATGCCAATAACAACAACAGTAATCCGTGTCCAGTGCAAGACACAGCTACAGTCAGTACCCAGAATGTAGTGAGAAATCCTGGGCAGACACAGACTAGAAGAGCACAGAGGCCTAATTCCCTGGATCTATCAGCCACGAATAGTATGGATAGCAGTAGTATGCAGTGTAAGTGCCTGAAGGACTTCAACAGTTTCCCTGACACTATTTTACTTAGTAACTATGTATATCTGCTTGAATAGAAAATACTTCTGTCTCTCCTGTCCCTCCTAAAAGCATACTTACTAAATCCCATATAAATTTAATATCTGTCAGCGCAATTTCAATCTTCTCGATAGTCCTGTCTCCATCAACTCAAGCACATTAGGTCACTATCTTTCTTCCACATACATGGAATAAATCTGTCGCTTTATAACCCATCTACTCTGACTCTAGGAAGGGAGTAATTTCTAAGTTCCATTATTCCTTGCAAGGCACCTACCTTGGCAGCTGCAAGGCATATTGAAAAAGCTGCCTATTTCTTCCTTCAGGGGCACATTATACCTGCTTTGCCTTATTTTTCCTCATTCTCTTAAGAGCAGCTGGCTCGAAGATGCATTGATTAAAATAATTTATTATAATAACTACTTACATGCTTTATTACTTTTGAAGCAACTGATTTTACCGTATTAGCCCAGCCTAGGTGGAGGGTCAAGCATTTGCTATCTGAAGTCCAAAAATTATAGCAATCCTTCGTCAGTTTACCATGTACATATTAAAAATTAATGAAAGTGGTTAGAGAATTAATCTATTTTAATAGACTCCTTCATAATAACTGCCTCAAAAGTTTTATGGGCAAAGATCTCAGAGGTTACAATGGGGCTCTCCTTTTTACAGTAGGAATGTAATCATGTAGTTACAGGTAAATTAGGTACATCCTCTGAGTTTGACTTTGGGCCCATTGGAGCTGTTGGAAAGGCCTCCTAGTGTGCACCTTTAACATAATATATTTCCAGAATGCACTGTAGTCTTTGAAAGGTGCTTGCGAACTTCTGTGTTTAGACAGACGCTGTGATGCTAGTGAAATAATCTGGGATGCCAGGGATGTTTGGAAAGAAGAGGTTTACAAACAAACCAGAACAGATCTTTCAAGAAATGTAGTTCAATATTCAGCAGTGGAATGTTTAAGCCTTCCTTTTAAGTAGTAAACCTTAATTTTGTCTTAACATGTTGACTTGAGTTGAAATCTTATTGAGGTAAAGGAAAAAGATTATTGCAGTAACTTTCTTTAATTGAAGGTTAAGTTAAAAGAAGGAGTTTGAAGGTTATGTAACGTGAAAGTTTTTTAAACAATCGGATATCACCTGCTGAAATTGTATCATGATTAAAGTTGGTTTAGCCAGTTCTGCAGCCCAACATCCCAAATCCTGGCTTAGGATCTTAACAGAGAATGGACCATTTTGTCTCCAGGTGAAATGCTTTTCCAGGTGAAGTAGGATTAGAGGATCTGTGATTTAGTTATGCTATTAAAAGTTGAGCCTTTGCCATCCTGTAGTAGCGACATTTTTTTGTTCCTCCCATTAGAGGTAATAGAAAATACTATGATTGCAAAAGCCCCTCAAATGTCAAATGCTGATTCTGCTGTTTGATGCCAATGTGCATTCAAGGTAACACAAATTACTTCACTGAAGTAATTTCTGACAGAGAACAGCATCTGACCCCTCATTTTAGTGGCAGGGGTGCTTTTATGTGATAAGATTTTGTTCTTTTGTTCTGTTTTGCACGAGTAACAACCCTGGTTTCTCCAGTCTAATCTTACCTTCCTTGTAATACTATTTTCTACTCTCTTTTTGGTTTTTGTTTGGGTTTGGGGTTTTTTTTTGTTTTGGTTTGGTTTTTTTGTCTTCAGTAGGTGACTCCTCACAAGATGGCAAATCAGGCTCAGGAGAAAAGATCAAGAAACGTGTGAAAACTCCGTACTCACTTAAACGGTGGCGTCCCTCAACGTGGGTCATCTCCACTGAGCCGCTGCACTGCGAGGTCAACAATAACGGCAGTGACCGCACAGTTCACTCCAAATCCAGCACTGCTGTTTACCTTGCGGAAGGAGGCACTGCCACCACAATGGTGTCTAAGGATGCAGGAGTGAACTGCCTGTGAAATACTTTGAAAGCCGACAAATGACCTTTTTTTTGCATTATTTGAAACAAACATGCAGAACATGTTTTCAAAAACTGCTTTCTCCTCCTGTCAGCAACCCCTACCAAGGACTCGCTTTAAATAGATTTCAGCTATGCAGAAAATTTTTAGCTTATGCTTCCATTATCTTTTTATTTTGTTTTATTTTTTGAATGTTTTTGCACTTTTATTTAGTATCGCTAAAGTTAAGTCTGTCTGTTTTGACCACGGAATATATATATGTGTATCAAAAATGTGGTCTAAAAATATTTTTTTAAAAAAAGTAACATAAAAAAGTATTGCTGATAATCAGTTTGGACTAGTTTCTTAAGGTCACTAAGATCATAAGCAGACTATAAGACAGGTTTGACTGCAGTGGTGTCTTGTAACCATGTTTTGATTTCTGTGCACAAGCTAGTCTATATATTTCTATGTTACAAAGTGTATTCTCTTTTGAACACCCTATTTTTTCTTGTGTCATGTTGAAATGTGCAATAGTCTATAGTTCGCAGTATGCTTAACTGAAAAGTGTGTTTCTAAAACTGCCATGTTTCCCTTTCTGTATTTGTTAATTTTTCCCTGACAGTTGAGCAGTCAGCCGGTCATGACAGTGAACTTTGCACACCATAGCCAGTTTGAAACAGCTGCCTATATCACATTGTGCTCTGAGGTGACAATGCATTAATTTTTCCCAACTTGAAAGGGCTTCTAAAAAGGAACAACAAAAAAAAGTTCTGCGCTCAGTACCTTTCCTTTGATCCTTCCAAATTGAAATGTGTTTCCTTTGTAGTCATAGATACCAGCCTGTGAAGTTCTCAGTAACAAAATCTTGAACAAATGTAAGGAAACAATGTCAGCCATTTTTCTTATTTTGTGTGCAGTTTCACCCCCATTTTTATGTAAAACCTTATTTAGATCACTAATGGTGTACATTGAAAAATAAATTTTATTCAGAAATGTTAATAACAGTCATACTTAAAAGCTCTAGTGAAGATAGGTTGTGAACATATTTTGTTTACACAGAGGAAAAATCATTAATCTTATTTGGCACAAAACAGTTTTGTGAGGAGTCATAAACCTTTCCTGATTTACCTCCTTACAGACAGTCTGGAGTAAAATCAGCCTGATTACTTATGCAGGTAGGTGCATCCTAATTGACTGTTGTTGCTGAGTTGAGTTGACACTCATCCTCCCTTCAGAATTTTGAGAGCCCTTCATTCATCTTGTTGAAATTTATTGCATGCTTTTAAAATTCATGGTTATGAGTGTGAGGGAGCACTGGCACTTTCTTTTTCTTCTGCTTAGACCCTTCTTTCGGTTTGTATGCACATTGATTTTAGGTGTCAGTGAACACGAATGTAGTATCTATTGAGATAAATTGTTTTTTCACCATTTCAAGTAAACCTCACCTTTTTTTAGAATTATTTGTTTTTACTGTCTACTGAAAGGAAATTAGTTTCCTTATTAGTCAGGACCTCCTGCTGCCTAAGAAATGTCCTTCCACCTGAGAAATATTCTTTCTGACTGAAAACACTTCAGTAAAAACTATTTAAATAAAAAAAGATACAACACATATCAGTCGTTAGTACCGAGTAAAGTTTTACCACTGTATCTGAAAACTGGTGATGTTCAAAGAAAGAAAATCTATTCAGTCAGCCTGCCAAACTCCTGTGGCAGGATACTGGCAGCAAATAATTGCTCCCCCAGCCTGTCTCTCTTCAGCTGACTGAAGCAGATGCTCTGTGCTTTCAAGCTCATTTGTCTCCTTGCTGTTATATCATTTTTTCCCTGAGGTAAACTTTGCCAACCCTGTTCTTCTGTATCTGATGATACAACTAGCATAATATATGCCTTGCTACATCTGATTCTTGCTGTTTCCCAAACTCCCTTGTTTGTGCTTGATTGCTATGATTTTCTCTTTTAATGCTTCTTAACGTTTCTTATATTCTCCTAGATATCTCCAAGAGATAACTTTAGAAATCCAGACTTTGATTAAGTGTAGTTGCAGAAATACGAGCCGTGAGACACATTTTGGGCTCCCCATGTTCTTTAAGCACCAGTTCAAGTAGTACTTTTCATCTCTGAGGCATAATTCTGTTATCTTCCTGTATAAATACACAGTTGTATCTCCCCTCTTCAGAAATACAGCCTTTCTCTGGTTTTACTTTTCTTTCACTCTCCGGCTTTCCATCTGCTGCAATCTTGCATCCCAGATGTTGAAAACCTGCCAGTTGCTCAGCTGGGTTTCAAGACCTGAATCAGAATTTTTGGCATTCTGTTCATAATGTTGGCTGTGGCTTTCTTCTCTTTTGGGCTTCTTTGAGTCTCCATTTGAAATACGGTATGTTGTTTTGTGATGATCGCTGCATCATGCATATTGAAGTTTCTTCACTCCTTTCCCAATGACTTTTTGCTTTGCCTTGCATGTATCATCCATCAGCATTTCAGAACGTGGGCTGAAAAGCGTATTTAGGACACTCTTAGCTAACTTGAAACACTCTGGGGAGAGAAAAGTTGTTTACTCTGACTACTGCTTCTTTCTGCCAAGACAGATTTGCACCAGTCTTCTAGCCTTTCTTTTCAGGCCAGTCCTTTGTAAGAAATCAAACTTCTTTATGCTCAATGCAATCAAAATCGTTTTAATACCAAACAAAAATGTTCTTCTTCAGTTTTCCTTAAACATTCTTAAAGCAAACAGAATAGTTTCTTTTCTTTATTTCTGTCACTTGCTAGAAGACCACTGGGATGAATTGTAGTGAGTAGAAAGTATTGGCTTTGTAATCTACCATGGATAAATATAATTTTTAACATGATAGAAATATGTACTTTATCACAAAATACCCTATAGATTAAATAGAGAAAAGCTATTTATTTTTAAAGGTTAGTCAAAACAAACTCTTAAGTAGGTACCAAAATATTGTAATTCTGCAGAACTAGATGAGATCAGATTAACAGTTTGGTTTTAATACTTAATTTAGTAGCGCCCTTTTTTTGCTCACAGCACATAATCCAATCTCCACAGAATACTTTCTCTGTAAATTAAATGATATTGAATTGTATCTCATACCATGGGGAATCATCCTTCACTGAACAAAATACATGTAACAGAGAATTCTATAGATCAGACACATGGATAGTTGATAGATGTACTGTAATCAGGGGAGACAAGTGTGTTTTATTTTTTTGTGTGGTTTTTTTTTTAAGAAAAAACGATAATGATGAAAGTTGATAATTTTCTATCAATTTCTCATGTATATTGCAGACAAGATAAATATAGCAAAATGAGAATAGAATGAAAATAGACTGATAGTGTAAATACCTATGAATTGTGCCACTGTCAAATAGGCAACAGTAGAATATTTGCTATGGTAATTTATAATGTATAATTCAAGTAAAATGTTAGAGCAAATGTTTGTGGTGTTTGTATATATAAGCCAAAATCCAAAATCTTTCTGGTTTTAGAAAATGACATGCTCGTAGAAGCCGGAAGAGTTGCTTAGGTTAATGCATTGTCTCTTTTTCTGTTTCCTGTAATAGAGATACTCGCCAACATAACATGGTTTTTAGAATGTGAATTCTAACCATTTCGACAGACATGCCTCATAGTCAGATTTATTTTCTTCTAAAATGAATATTTATAAGCCAGTTTACCTGCAACACTTCCTCTGAATTTGCTTATAATAGCATTATATGCACTTAAATTGCAAACCTAAAGGAATTCCTAATTTAAAAGAAAACCAATTGATATTGTCATCATTAGAATATTCTCAGAAACGCAAAACATTTCCCTTTCTTACTGCCATTCATTTGTGTCTTGTTTCCATACAGAAAATTACCTAATTTTCAAAGGCAACAGAGTTTCATTTTTTTCAGTGCACTGGGGACAAGAAACAATGCAAGACGGATGCTGGCAGGTTTCAGAAAACAAACCACCAAAAAAATCCCACTTTATGAATATGTTTAGAAAGTACATATCTTCCCACATGTCAGCTTTCTCTAAAAGAAATCTTTAATCCTACCTGCCTCAGAAAGGAGAATAAGGAAGTTCTCTATTTGTATGGAATAGATTATTGGGCCAAATTTAATAATAATGAATTGTTACTTAAATATGTATGTATACATTGTATATGCCATAGTTTCAGTGTTTGATGCATTTTACTGTAATGATACTCCTTTATTAAATGTTAAAAAAAAAGTCCATTACTGTAACATTACTAAGTCTACGTTCAGATTATAATTTTCTTTCAAGAAAAATATTCAAAAGATTGTAGCTGTTCTGCCATTGAAACGTTATTATGGAAGGTTCCAATCTAATTAGGGAGAATTTAAAAATTCACACATTTAGTCAATAAGGAGAAATTAATTGTGCTGTAATTTTTACTTGTATAAAAATGATGGCATTTCCCATTGCTAAAACAGGCTGGTTATAAGTCATAAAAATAATAATTGCTGAGAACAGTAGCATATACATGACCTGATGTCTAATTGGAAAATTTGGAGCAGCTTATCAAAGACTATTGAAATAAGATTAATTAGTCTATGAAAGTTGGATTTAAAGACTGGACAATTAGTTTTTGCAGTTTTAATTTTGCATAAATTTGGATCATTTTAATTTTTCAGCTGGTTTCCCACTATTTGTTTTAACAGGTAAATATACTAACCTCCTTTTTTTATTGTGCTTATTATTTTTTGTTCAACTTCAAGCCTTTCTTCAGTCAAAAAGCTATAAATCTTACAGTGAAGCCAAATATATATATTTTATGTAAACTCTGTATGTACTTAGATGCATATGTATGTTGTGCATAAATTCCAGGATTAAATTCTGTGAGTTACAGCATCATATGGTAGCACTGGTAGCGAGTATAATGTTCTTTTTCATATTCCATTTTGAAATTGTCTTCAGTGCATCACAGTTAAATTGGGATCAGCCTGTGACATACAGTCCAGTAGTGCAAGATCTCCCGTGGCAGACTGGTGGCTGA